CGTGGGCACTAACTTCCGATACAGTCTTCACCGGAGAGTGACATGGTGCCCACCAGCCTTGGACAAGTCATGGAATCAAATCGATCACTGCGATCAGTTACCTTTGGAGTGGCTGTGTTCAGAACTGCCGCTCAATTTGGAGCATGAGCATATGTTTGTGCCGACCTGCGGGCGCGTTTTTGCGGATGCCTGCTGTGGAAGCCAATTGTTCTGAATGCGTATCGGAGTACGCTAGCGCTCACGGAACATGATTAGAGATCAGTGGTTGCATATCTGCCAAACTTTATTAACAGCAGGCGGCGTGTCTATATGCGGCAAACCAAATTGCCAACCTGGACATCGGGTTTCTACACAGTCTGTTAAAGGTTTAGATACTTTCTGATATATTCCGGCTGAAAGCGAACACGACGACGCTCGAAAGAACAATGCGAAACTGCGCGCTAGCCTGAATAGAGACCGGAAAACCTGGCGGTCTTCTCATACATCAGAGATGAAAACAGGCGCTGCTCTTTTTCCGTCTGATACGGGAAACTGGCAGCAAGAGACTTGGTGTTAGCGAGATAATACGTGACGTCAGTCGACGACCAATCCAATTTTTTGGGGTAGATTCATCGCAGTTAGACTCAGGCAGACAGCCGCCACACATACAAGAAAGCGCGAGACGGCCGTTTCGTCCTATTGGAACTCGTCAGTAGCGCGCACCTGCCGAATCCTGCCGGATTCGAATCCACGACCTTACTCTTGTGAGTCAGCGACTTATGTCACTGAGCCATGGGCGACGGCAGCGGACCGCTATGACCAATCCATTGTTCATCAAAACGCTTGGCGCGTTGAGTCGATCACTTTCAGAAGCAGTTTAATCAGCCAGAGTTACCAAACTCCTTATCTCCCATTGATTACTCCTCTCCGTCGGCCGTAATCTTGAATTCGCTATCACGCGTAGAAGTCGAACGTTAGATGACACTGTCGGAATTGAATAAAGACCACAGAAGCAAGTAGACTTCCCCCAGCCTTCTTCATATTCGGAAACGAGCTCTCATGGGTGATCAGCACAGCTTACAAGTGTAGCTACGAAAGCGGAGGACTGTCCCAGCAGACTAAAGCCCCTCCGTTATTGTCCAAATCTTCAAAGGAGCCTCACGTTTGGTATGTGGTGATCATAGAGGAATCAGTCCGATCTCGATTGCCTCTAACTTTCCCGCATCTGTCGTTCTACACAGACTGACCGGTAGCCTTGAAAGCTAGATTCGAGAGGAGCAAGCCGAGTTTCGCTTGAATCCAGGCTGTATTGACTACGTCCTCACATTACGCCAAATTTTGGAACACCGCCATAACTATGGGGGTTACACCGTGGTCGACATCAAATGTGCCTTCGATTCGGTGGATCGATGTACCTCTTTGGACTCTGCTCTGGAAATCTGTGCCTAAAAATATGCAAACATTATCAGAGCGCTCTGCGGGCAAACCGGGTTTTGTTGAAATCGGGGCTACACCGACCACATCTTTACATTACTTCAATTGTTGGAACATCCTCATATTGATTGGCGACTCGCCGTAGTCGTGTTTATGGACATCAAAGGTGCCTTCGATTTGGTTGATCGATGTGCCCCTTGGGACTGTCTGCTCAGGGAAGGTGTACCCGAAAAATACGTAAACATTACCAGAGCGCTGTACACGCGTACTTCGGGCTGTGAGCATTTATGGCAGAATATCGCCTTCCTTCAGTATGTTCAGCAGTATGGGACAAGGTTGCCCGCTGTCACCTTTCCACCTTAACTTCGCTATTGACGAAGTCATGAAAACAGCGTTCGCTAGACACGAGTTATAAACTGTGGAGATGCCTCCTTGGGAGCGACTTTTTGACTTGGAGTATTCCGACGGCATTGCCAAAACGTGCCAGACAGCATTGCACAGATTAGCACTGGCTATCAATTGTTTTGCTCTATGGTTTGTTCCCTCGAAACGCAAAGCCCTCCAATATTGGTAAGGATCTACCCCTGCACTGTCCCTCGGTGGAGATCAGGTAGAATTCGTTCAGGAGTTCAAGTATCTGGGCCGCTATATTAGCGTCCGTGGGATTGAAGATGTGGTCACCAACTGTATAGCTAAAACTCGTGATTTTTGCCTATCTCCGCCACCTGTGGCGCCGACGCGACATCACTTTTCCTGAAGGGCAGATTTTACAATGTAGCCCTTCGTTCAACCCTTCTATACCGTTACGAATTCTGACCCATTAAGTCGACAGATGTTTATAGGCTGGTTGTGTTCGACCATCGCTGCATTCGCAGGTTAGCTCGTGTCTCGCTGGAGCACAACATGATCAATGAGGGTGTTCGGCGCCTCTTATTTGGCGCAACGCTCAGCACCGTGATATCACACACCACGCTCCGATGGCTAGACCACGCGTTGCGCATGCGAGCACACCGACTCTCGCGTCAGGCGTTATGCGCGCACCTGGGCGTGGATGTAAGAAGGGGAACAAACTCCGAGTGCTGACTTGATCAAGAGGAGTGACCCTCGTTTTGTGTCTTCAAACTGCTGGGCTGGAGTCCCAAGAACGGTGAACGCGTATAGTTAGATACACTAGTTGACATGGCTAGGAGCCGACCTCATTGACGTGTGTGTTGTGCGTTTTTTTTGTCCTTCTTCCCGCTTAGCTTCCCTCTCCAAGGGGGTTCTCCTACGTATGGACAATGTTTTACTTATCATTATATTACCTGCCTTTTTAGTTTTATATTTATATTTAGTACCTAGCTTTCCCATGCATTGTCTTTTCGTATATTGTCACAATATCCAAAGTCTATTTATTACCTTCAGCTAACGTATAATAATGATTTTGATGACCCATGCCTTCGTTTTTCTGCTCGGTCCCCACTCAGCGTTGGAAGCTCAGCAGTGCACAACACGGATTCCGTAAGGGATTTTCGTGTCTAACAAATTTGTTGGTTGCTCACGAAGCTTGGGCTGAGACAGTGAACAATGGTCACGTAGTGGGCGTGCTTTTCTTCCATTTCTCGAAAGCATTTGACACTGCACCCCACTTGATACTATCACAAAAACTGTGCTCTTACGATCTGTTCGAGTATCTGCACTCTTGCAGGAAAGTGAACAATTTGTACACGTTTGTCGCAGCTTTTACGCAAGCGGTCCTTACTGGTGTCCCACAGCGCTCAGTCTTTGGTATCATCGCAAATATTTGCTTATGACTTAAAGCGATGTACGTTATTGATATCCTTGGGGGTTTTGATGCCCTTCAACATGCTCTGAATAAGCTTTGGGACTGGTCTACTTTGTGGCTACTGCCCATTAATCAGGTTGTGTTCCATTCTTCGTATAGGAGCAACTTTCCAACCGAGGTACGTGCTCATGGGATCGAACTCTCCCCTGTCTCCAACTCGATTGACCTAGGCGCCCTCCATTCCTTGGCTTTGCATTCGGATAACAACTGGCAGAAGGCCGCAAGTAGGGGTTTTCGAATGTTGTTGTTTAATACGCCATACTTTCGGAGTTTTAACTGCGGACATCTTTGTGAAACTGTTCTGGGCTTTTCTTTGGTCCCATCCGGAATATTGCGTCCAGGCTTGCTCGCGCAGCTTCATTCGGGACAAAATGGAAATCGAGAGGGTTCTGCGGGTAGATACCAAGTTGGTCGACTAGTAACGGGAGCAAACGTACCACGAGTGTCTACTTAGCTAAGGTATGTGTTCAATACACTACCGAAGGCTTCGAGGAGACCTGTTCCTCAATTACCACATTTTAACAGAAGGTTGGACGGTGCTTGAACTGGCTATTTAGCCCAACTAGGTTGCTGTCTTCACGGTCATCCCATGAAGCTACACAAGCCTCGTTCCAACCGGATCAGGGCAGAAACTCCTTTATCGCTCGGAGTTATCGAGCGCTGGAACCTCGCTTCCAGAAATTGTAGTCAGCATACCTACGGTCGAGTGTTTTGAGCGACGATTAGATGCTCTTGGATGTCAACACGAAACGTTTTCCTTCTCCTGACCATATTCATCTTCAAACTTTAACTTTATATTCTGTGTTTCTCCTCACTCAGATATTATCCTTCATTTAAATGCGTTTTCTTTCTCTTTCATCCTCTTCCTACGTCTTCTTTTACGTGTCCGGCACATCGGAGACTGCTAGTGTAGCATAGGTGGGCAGTAATTGTTTGACCAGTGTGTGGTTCGGATGTTTCTTTTTATGTCCATCACGACCTAGTAGCACCTTATCATTTCCTGGTTCAACGATCCGCTCAAGAAGGAACAGTCAGGATTTTCATGTCGTTCCAGTCCCATTTGAATCTGAATCTGAAGCACGCATGTTTATGATTCATCCCTAACAATAGGATTTATTATTCTGCTTTTAATAACTGAACTTTTCTATCGGGGTACAATGCAAATTTTCATCACTATAAGCTTTTGACCTCCGCTTGTTGCCATTACATTGTACGGTTTCTTCCTTCTTCCCATCCTGTTAACCATCTCACTTTATTAGTTTGGAGTTTACATTACTTTCTTACTCTTCGTCATCATTTGTTTGTATGAATTTATATTATCTTTCCTCGATTTTGCTTTTGATCCCTTGTTTCTTCCACTTAAGCAGCACATTAGTGACTTGTTTCAACACTTATGCATCCATTTTGGCTCATCTGGTTTACGAAGCACGTACATGGACATTATCTCTGGAGTCTGCCCAGGTAGAGGTACTCATGGGATTCTTCTCTCATTCTAGCCTTACAAATACTCTTGTTTGAATTTTGCACAATGGATGTTTGTATCTTGTTCATTTTACTCACCTTTTTACATTAATTTTATTTATATCAGCCCACTTCTGTTCTTTAGTCCCGGAAAAAAACGATACCATTTCAGCAAGTTGTTCAGACCATCGATGTGCACTTACATGCACCGGCTGGACCCGCCAACAGCTGAAGACCAGTCTTTATAAACAGTAGTGAATCATTCATTGTTTCATGATCGGACTATGCTTTGGAGAAAAAAATGAGAAGTAGTCCGATTTCGAATAATGCATTACCCAATATCCACCTGGAAAACTTTGAGGATCAACGATTTGAGAATTGCCGTTATGTTCTCACCAGTCCCAGATCACTAGAGGCTTGTGCCAAGTTGAACATACGAGTTCGTTCGCTTCACCCTCCCCCACTGCTTTTTACCTAGCCTGTTGAACTTCTTTACAAATGTAAGGAGGAATTTCTTGAGGAATTTAAAGATCTACCACCTCAGAAAGTGCTGGAACTCTATACTAAGCACGAACACAATCGTATGCGTGAGTTACTCACATCGTCTCATCTCGATCACTTTATTAAGAGAAGCTTGTGAGAGCGCGTGCAGAACGAAAGAAGTTAGCGGACAATGGGGTTTTTGCATTACAAACCTCTACTGCTGATCCCATACGTGTTGATGTCGCGGCCAATTTTCCTACTGGTGGTTTCGAACAAAAAGGCAAGAATTTGTAAAAATTTTGTTTTGAAGCCACATTATCCTCCTGACCCTGAACTATGCACTAGCTTTCGTATGTCCAGTTTGTTTCGTCATACTAGCAATCTGTTTCCTAGAAACCCCATCGAGTACCCGTCCGTTTCGACATTTATTTTCTGCACAGCAATGCCACCAACTACTTCCTATATAAGAATAATGACTACTGGACGTTGTTATGCTCTGTTTCGGCATCACCTAAAAGTTCTAGCAAAGTTTATGATCGACTGTTATCCACTAGACAAAATAGACATTGGGTCTCTTCGCAGTCAGGAACCTATCGATGCTCATCGGCACATTCCTGCTGGAAGCGTACACAACAAGACTTTCAAATACATCAGAGCAAAACTCCGTGCTAGCCTGAAGAGAGACCGTGAAGCCTGGTGGTCTAATCATGCTTCAGAGATGGAAGTGGCCGCCCCCCTTGGTAACCATCGGAAGTTGTTCGGTCTGATTTTGGAAACGGGCAGCTGGAGATTTGGTGTTAGTGAAACGGTATGTGACGAGAGTGAACAGCCTATCCCCAACTTGTCAAAACGTTTGGAACTTTGGGCAATTTAATCGGCTGGAATTGTTAGGTTCCTTAGCGGCCAATGGTCGCTTTGCTCTTTAGGCTGTCCCTTTGTACCCGCCTTTTTCTCAGAAGTCGAACGTGAAATCGGATTGTTGAAGTTGAATAAAGCTGCGGGACCAGAGGTAGATAAAATGTGGATGAAAATGGAGGAGGGGTGGCTTAGCGATGACTTAGGTATGAAGTCCTCCACTTGGAAGTTGACCTCGGTTGTCGCCTCGGCTCCCTGTTTTGAGATCAAAAGACGATGAACACGTTTGGCCGGATGCAGTTGTTGACATGGCGAGGAGCCGATCTCAGTGGCGTTTGTATTGTGAGTTACTTTGTCCTTCCCCTACCTCTCCCTCCAACCACGATCTCGTTTCCTAGGCATAATCTTGTTTTTGCGGCACCATAGTGGGCTGTTAGCTATCCGCTGTGATGTCCATCCGTTACGGGTATCTTAGCTATCATGCCTCTGTTGCATGTTCAGCTTCTTCTTCTGAGACATATTGGCTTAGGTGTTTTGCACCTCTAGCTTACGTGTATAATGATACTGATTCCCAAGTAGACAAAGCTATCGACCTCAATTAGGGTTTCTTCATGGTTGAGAACGAGAACTCGGTGTGCCAGTTTCATAGCTACACATAACACTTGCAGTGAAGCATACGCCTTCCTTAGATGCCTTGATTTCCGATGCAAGTATATTGATCTTACAGGCAACTTGGCTGCATTCTGACATCGACGATGAGGCCCCTAATCTCAAGGGCTACCACCACATTAGATCTAACCGCCCGGAAGAGCCTCAGCATCGCGAATATTTGTGTAAGTCCGCTTCCGAACTCTCGGGGTACTGAACAACATTAATAAGCTATCACCTATAGGAATTTCATTCCAAGCGAAAGCTCTTTCAGCTGCGTGCGGGTGAATTGATGGCAGATTGTGATAGGTAGATAGATAGATATATTATATATGTGCTTCGGGCATTCAGTATTGTAAGAAGCATATGTAGTCTTTGCGAGCGAACCCTGTAGGCTGCGCACTGTCTATATCAGCGTATTACGTAGAACTCCCGTAAAAGTGCCTTAAATTTCAAGCGGCAAACCAAAGCTAACTAGTTGTGGGTTCCAGCGAAACGTCTCTATGTTTCGAAGAACTTCCTGTTGGTATGCAAACAAACGTTTCTGAGCGGTTTTCTAACTACCATTTTTGGGAACGTGTATGTATCTCCGGACACAGCGCTGTTCGAGCTGCAAAAGTTTGCAGATCATATTGCTTTAGAGTCACAACCAAAGTTAGTATTTTCCACCTGCGTTTCATCTGTGATGCTTCAGTCTGAGTTACTTATACCGATTATCTTGGAAAACTGCCCTAAATTCCGCAAGTGGCTGCCTACAGAAATTCGCTTAAAGGTAGCGGATGCATGGCCGTGATTAGCTTATGACTCTTTGTGGCCGGCCAATTCGTTGCATCTTTTCTTCTACGTCTCTGTGGGGGGATTGGTCTAATGGTGACTTCAGCACCCGCGGAATACGACTAACTACTGGAGACCAGAACCCGGACAGCCACAAGCAGCCGTATAACACAACCGAACTTCAAAAGCCAACAACTCCTCAAATAAACGGCTAGTAACCGACACCTCAGCGGTAGATATAATCTCCATACTTAGTTCAACATTCGCTAGCTCAATTTGGTTACTGGGGAACTGTCCTGCCTATATATTCATGCACAAGGCCCCATTATTGTGGTCCAACTCCGCCATTGTCAAACTCCCGCGCCTCGGGATATCCTAATGATCACCGAAACCTGGCTGAACTATGAGATTACCAACGCTAAGATCGCTCTACCAGGGAACGACAGAACGAGTAAACGAGATCATTTATTATAACATAAACCTTCGCTGTGAACTCATAGCTGATCCCCTAACGCGTATCAACGATCTCTGTCATGGGGACCCAACGTCCCCATAATGATCATAAGCTTAAACCACGGAAGGCAATGAGACTCGATTCAGACAAATGCACATGTTTCGATCAGCCTTCCAACTCGTGAGACATTCACGTTTCGATTGGCCTTTGTACCTCAGAAAACATTCCTGTTTCCGGCCAACCTCCCTTCAATCATAAAACATTCAGCCTTTTTTACCTAAGAAACTTTCAGTTTTCCAGTCCAGCCTTCGCGTCTACCAACATTCACTTTACAACCTATTCCGTTGGCATATTTGCATAGTGTCAATGCATTTGCTCCCAGGGTTTGCTTACGGAAATCATTGGCGCCATCGAGGTATGAAAGAAACGCTGGAATGCGCTGTAATTGCCTTGAGCCTGGCAGGTGAAAGTGTCTACTCGAAAGGCCTGTCTTTTTGTCCTGTTCTCTCGGGTTTGGGTAGCTGCGTGTGAAATTGCGTTCGATCTAGGAGCCCGTTCAACTCGTGCGTAGTAACCGTGTTACGCCTAAGTCCCACGGGTCGTACAAATTCGAATTTTGTTGCTTGCTTTGTCCTGCGTGAAATAGTTCCAAGCCACATTCGTTCGACCGACTAGGGGACTTGATACCAGATCGTCAGAGCGTGGCGTAACCAAGAGGCAGTTTTAACCATCTCCTTTGGTGCAAACTGTGGTTTAAGGTTGACAACGCTTGCGTTGTATCCGTAGTTCACTGATCGCCGAATGCCATTCCTGAAACGGACCACTGACTAATATCGGCCTTTCATGTTGTGATAAGTCATAAATACATCCATCTCCTCATTAGGGGAGATTTCAACATTCTTGATTTGGACTCCAGCAACTAATAGCGAACAGTACAAAACGTTTCTACAGGGGCTACTCACTATCACCTCCCTATATAACTACCGCTCGCACGAGGTTCAGAACATCAAATATGCCACCAATCCTGCATCTGGCGACCAGCTGATGGTTATTGGGCTAAATGTGTGCAGTCCCATGGGCAGAAGCGATCAAGTGATTTAACTGTTCGATTACATTTGCTGCTCCGAATACTCCGAAGCAGAACCCGAGTAGATGCAATATATTACACATTACTACGTATTGTCCGCACTCGTTGAATACGCTAGTTGGATATTCATGATTAAGTACACTCCCGAAATAGCCTGGAGACATTCATGAAAACGTTCACGCCACTAGTCGCGGAAGCATCTGAGCCCAAGGCTTTCCATCGTCCTTTCAAAGCAAAATCTTTAAACATCCTAACTCGGAACTGTATGGCCTTGAGCATCGATCGCGGCACGTTTCCAAAGCAATCACAACTCGGAAAATTGGACAGCGCACGTTGTTCCACGCAACTACTGTACAGGACAAGGTGACACGTTAGCAAGAGCTTGCGAAACGATTCTGTTTTAACCACAACTTTCTTTTGATGAGGTTTATTGTGATGAAGTTGATTGGAAGAAGTAGGGGATTCTTTGTAATGAAGTCGCGGAAAGTGTGCGGGAGATCAAGAAAAATGCGAGGTATCAGCGTGGCATGTTTTCCCTTATTCACCTGGTTGTATGCAGCACAAGGCAACTTCTTTCCCAATGCCACTGCTGAACGGCCGATGCAGCATGAAATTATCACTATTTGTGTATTTCCTGGTTTGGGTTTGGACTGATTTAATGCCATGGCGTCTACACCTGACAAGTGTACTACGGAATTCTAGCGCATTTTATGAATGCTGTGCTTAGAAAGATGTCTGCACTTTGGGAATAACATACTTGTGTGTTGTATCATGACAATGCACTGGCGGACGCATTGCTCCTTGTCCGCTCTTATCTAACAAAACACCAAACTCCCATTATATCACATCAACGGTATTCTCCAGACCTTGCCCTAGTAGCCGTTTTGCTATTACCTATTCTTAAAGCCACACTACAAGGACGTCGTTTAGGAAAATGCGATAAGAGGTCTGCTTTCCATCCCACACAGTGCGCCCTAAGATGCTTTCCTGAAACGGAAGCACCATTATGAACGCTGTATTACCAATAGCTGGGATTACTTTGAGGTGGATAGTGCGGCTGTTGCACTGTGAACAATAACGATGTTATACCAGAAGTTTGCTTTCCTTTTGAGCACACCTCATAGCATCAAGACATGATGAAATTTACCGCGAGACGTGGTCTGGCTGATGCATTCTTTCTTCGTTGCCGTGAGCTTCGGAATTAGATGCATCGGTGGTTGGAGACCCTATTGATGCTCTTGCAATTGTTCCTGGGAGCCGGTCAGTTGACATTCCGCCGATTAATTTTACTCACTTCCTTTTGTGTTCTTGCGTTCTGCCTCTATTGCCCCGCCATTGTTAATTATCCTTATCCTGGTGATGCACGTCGTGGCAGTTGGACTCACCTCACTGCGGTTTCTGGATCATAGTTAATTAACTGAACTGGATTTAGGTGAACTGTATCTTGCGGCACGATTGAAACCACAGCCGATGCATGCTTATTCATGTGGGTTTCGACCTTGATGGTCGAGCAATTCTTGAAGCTGACCTAATCGGGCAAAAGATAGCCGAAAGAATTCTGTGGTTGCGCCCTTCTCACGAGTCCCAGAAAGATGAAACGGTCGTCTATCGCTTTCCTGGATGTGTGTTAGCTAAGTATGATGAATCTTCACAAAATAGCTGTTCGTGTCTGTGCGTTGTTCCTGAGACCTTGGGACCTAGATGCTGAACTTGCGACATGTACCCTCTCTCTCTCTCCCCTATTCGCATTTGTCATCAGTTTGCTAATTAAGGTTCTCTGGCAGTGCAACACCAACAAACGGCACTGGTGTGCTGACGTTGCTCATGTATGTGCTAACCATTTCCGCTTTGGAGCTTTTACACATGTATTAGTCATTTCTGCATCCCATCCGCTTGGTTTGGAGCTACTGGTCACTTCGTTATTGTTTCCTACTGCCTTCGTGGTACATATTTGTTTGCTTTCGAACGGCTTTTAACCGATGCCTTAGCGCCACTTTTACCAGTTTACCTGCTTTCCGTCATATATTATAGTTTGCGTATCACTTTTTCTTCAAAGTGTACTATTTTGTGGCTGCATCTTGATTTCTAACAGTATTGTTGCTAAACGTTTTCATCCAGCTTCATCACGAGAGATTAACCGACGAAGCGCCTCTTTAAGGTAAGTTGCCGTTTAGCTTTCCAACTTATTTGGTAGATTCCCGTATAGTTGTTCCGGTCTAATATGTGTCCCATCTTTTTCCTTACAATTCCGCTTCTTGTGTTACTGGGAGAGGGGACATTTGACAACACCGTTTGTTTTTAACGGTGACTCGTACGAATTCTTATTTAAGCATCCCTTCCTTGCATGTAAGTGTCTTACATATAGACTACCTTCCTACTAAGTTGTAAACGCACGTCCTCTTACGACATGCTCTTAATGAACACAACAAAGAACTATATTTCACAAGTAGTGGGGAAATATGCTTTGTGTCGCACGCATCACTTCGGGTCTAGGGTCTAAGTAAATGTTTGAGTAGGAGCACAGGCGTTCTCCCAGTAAAACGTCCGTTTGCAGCCTAAAAGATCACAAGTCTACCTTGTAATCCGAGTGCGTGGGTTCGAGCCTGCTTAAGAGACTGGGCGACCCTCGCAGTATCCTTAGCCCATTCGCCACTGTTAATGCTTGCGCGGCATGTAAGCTTTTCTGCGGTGTACCGGCGTACGGTTGATACCTTTTTTCACCTTTAACTCCCAGTTAAACTAAAGCCGTAGTCCTTCTAGACTACTATCGGAAAGCGTGCTCACGACTTATCTTTGAAGCCTCAGGTTATATCGATGACTGCCTCAGACATAGGATACCACTGTGTAGATCACGAGTGTCAGTTTTCTCCTTAAATTGAGCGCGCGCAACCTTAGCTCGTTGGGGTCCTGTTGTTGCCTTATGCAAATCAACCATGGGCAGAAAGGTACAGATCCTCCGGATTCGACCAATGATAACGTCAAATGCGGAGCTCTTATCTGTTACAGTCGCTAAGCGTACAACACGGCCAAGGTTTTCAAGGCATGCACGTTATAAGTCTCGATTAGATCTCAGCAGATCTCTTGCCACACTTCCGCGCTTCACTTGCACCTTATTTGTGAGTCTGACCATAGAATCAAAAAAGATAGGCTTTGCCCATCCATTAAAACCTCTTTCTCAAAGTGGGACATTTTCATCCTCTCCTTCCTTTGTTTTTTTATTACGTTTATCTTTCCCTCCACCTTTATTGACAACATTTTGCTTCCTTGTTCTCCATTTACGGCAACCATGTTTTTCAATCCTGTTTCAGACAGAGGGATCTCATTTTGCATCAGATCTTTCGACGTTCACGCTTTCTGCCAGAGCGGAGCACCCGCATACATGGCCGAAGCCTTTTGGCTTACTTTTCACTGTCGTGCCTAGGTCTAGTGAATCCCACGTCTTATTCAAACGGTGTTACTAATTTAACTGCTTAGCATCAAGGGATCTGCTCCACTTATCACTTCGAGATTGATTGTCTACTCGTCTGCCTTCATGGAAGCTATGTTGCGCTCACAGATGATGCATTGAATATCCAGCTATGTTTTGGTCAGGTCGGGGTTGCGTTTGTCAAATTTTATACATCAACTACTCGAACTCCGTCAAATTTTCGCACACCAATCATTGGCGTTTGCGTGAATTGGCGTAGCTACTTCTTATAACTACAAGTTGTAAGGTATGTACTCAGGAGGTCGTTGACAATTTCCAAATCATTCATCCTCTCGCCTCTCATTGTGTGGGACTTTTAATATATACCAATCGAACTGTTTAACTTTTCCCAAACTGCCGTGACGAAAATTCTAGTTTGATGTTTACCTGACTTGTAACTTAGGCATGCCTAATTGAAACTCCCTCGATTGCCGTACACGACAACAAATTGTGGTCTTCTAATAACCTCTGGGGCTGTTGTTATCCAAATAGGCTCATTGAGTGATGATAGCGACTGGTCATTACACTGCTAAGCACTCGGATGTTGCATGCAGTACACATAACGCAACGACCTCTTCGTCCATGACAGCCATCTCATCTGACTAAATCATAACCTTGGTGGTCAATAAGGTGGTCTCTGCAGCCTCATTTGCACCTCATGATTCAGTACTAAAGAGGACATACGGGTAATTAACAATGGCGAAACAACGGAGTGAGTGCGTTTTATAAACCAGAGAAGGAGTATTGATATGCATTAGTTTGAAGGAGTCATCATGACAGGAGTAATTCGCACGTTTACGGAAATCCGTATTTGAGAGTTCTGTTGTCTTGGTTACACGTGATCCTACATTCTATAGGTGGTGTGTGTGTTTTAAAAAACCCTGCTGTTGGATATGAACTGGAGAAAAATTGTACCCTCCTCAGTGGAATCTAATGATTAACGCGCACTGGTCTGCTGTTGTTCATGAATGTTTGCTTAATTAGCACGTAAATGTCTAAAGCCGTTAACAGACTGCCAATGAACAGGGTTGGAGAGGCAATTCCCGCGTATCAGATCCTCCACATGTATTCAGGGGTTTATTGTACTCTTAAATGATGCCTTCTAAAGTTTACTGAGAGTTCGTAACAGTTCGTGCATAATCACCTGGTCAACAACTACATCTGATACTCATTTTGGTTTTCTACCCACGTTGTGTTTGAATTCTGCAACAAGCTACCTAGAGGAACCATATGAAAGCATATTTTGGAGCTACATGCACCTCTTCTAGGAAGCGTAGCTATCTGGAGAGATCACATTCTCCCGTTTAATTTGCCCCTAAGCAGCATTTTAACAGGTGGTAGATGAACGGGCTGATACGAAAAACATTGGCAATTGCGGAATCATGATTAATAGCGTACCCCAAGTCTCTCGGAGTCGAGTGGAATGAAATATAACCTGCAGAGTGAGGTTGATGTAACTTCAAATAAGTGGCTCATATCATTATGCTTGCGACTTCCACTACTTCTGGTCTAACTACTTATCTGTCCAGAATTGACGATCAGGTTTGGCGGTCGGTTAACGGCGTCGCTGCTCCTATTTACGCTTCGTTTGTATCAGTTCTTGTTCCAGGTTGCTCGAATAGGAGACATAATTCGTCCTACCTTAGCTCCTCGCTTACGGCTGAAGGATGGCACGTTATCACCGTCGTCATCATCAGCAGCAGTACATCAACTACTTGAATTGATGTTTCGCTGCCATACAGCAACAACGGCATACGGAACGAAGACCAATAACTTGGGGAGAACAGGGATTTACCGGAACATCTTGATGCCCTAAGCAAGCACTCAAGGTTAAGAAGCCTACACCTTGTCAACACCATACCGTCACAAATGGCTTGCTAGTGTGCAAAGATAAGGTGGCGTTGGCGAGATAGCTTACTTGCGGCTTTCACTGCAACACGTCATAAACAGCCATTACCCCACAGATGACTCAGCACCAAACGCCATTCAAACAGGCAACCGGGCTAGAAGACGACAGCAGACGCGCCACTGGTGCTAACTGCGAGCCATAGCCTGTGAAGTCTGGAGCCAAGCATATGGTGAGTCACGTGAACTCCAGCCTGGAAGGCGAGACGGACCGACGGCACCGAGTTGGGTCGTCAGTGACTTAATTTCCAGCTGCCGAGTTAATTTTGGTCCACCTCGAGTCTTGCGCCACCCTACATCTGGCAGACAAAGGAAGGCGCTCCTAAGTCATATGTGACCGTGCGTATGTAGTACGCGCCCAAACCAACATAAGTTATTCGGTGCTTTGGCCTGCCGAACAACCTCCTCGTGGTGCCAGCTGAGTGTTGGGGTTTTTTCTGTTCCAGCGAATGGTTCGGCGTCAGTGTTCCAGGACATGGTGGATTTTCGCCTGGAAAGAGTTCTCCCTATAAAAAGCCACACATGTCCGTTTAACAACACTGCTACGTACTGGGTGTTACCCGCTACTAAATAAGGTCACTACCTCTTACTTCCTTCCGGTAGAGCGATGTATCCCAACAAATTGCTGCTGAATTTGTGGGGAAGATTGGGCTCCTGTTTAGTACCTGACCAAACGGAAGGCGTATGAACCGAGAAATCGGTCACGGGCTCCCAATGTACGCGATTCCCTAAATTCGTTCCACTGCCTTGTGTGTAAGCTATGTAGCCAAGGGTTCGGGATGGAGTCCCCTGAGACAACTCCCTACTTCGGCCCAGACAACCGGGTAACATCTCGTCTACTGACCAACCATGGAAACTTAGTCACGCTCTCGCTTGACGATGTTCTATGCTCCTGCTATTGCACCATCTCTACAATCACACGCCACCCATTTACCTATCTTCCCTTTGCATTATTCACCAGATGCATTACCTGATTCCTCGACGGTGAACAACTTTGTCTCCACCGGTGACTTCGTCCCATCAACATCCGCCAACTCAGCCACATATAGCTTCACAGCCACGTGGTCTTCCATCATCGCTTCTGCAACGTGGAACTCGGTTCTAGCTAAGAACACTACATTTGCGCACTCTATTGCTGATCGGACAATAAGCGGAACTGGCGCGCCCCTTGAAAACCCTTGCAGTTGATGTCTGCTGCGTGACTGAGACGCGACTTCAGGATGCCAACACAGTCTACCAGCTACCGTCACCAATCCATCTCCACACCCGTTTCTATCTCCGTTTTTCTAGCGACGCTGAGTCTGCCCCTTCTGGGCAAGCTGGTATTGGAATCAGCCGACAACTCAGATATGTGGACCAGCTGTCCGGAAAAGCACCAGACGGCCGTTTCGCCCTATTGGGACTCATCAGTGGTGCGAATCCTTCGGTCCTCTGCGGAGGATCGAACCCATGACTGCTAGTGGCTCTTGCCAACTAGCCCGCAGCTTATGCAACTGCGCCATGGAGGACGGTATCTGACTATCGTGAACTGTTAGCTAAATGCGATATAGCCCGACGCATCCTCCACTGCCATGCAGGCACCTGCCATGCAGATGACAGCGGTCGGCCTTCCGGCGTCAGGACTTCCCGGTTACGGCAGCTATGAATCGACATAGCATTTTGTGGAATCCTTCCATTCATAAGTAATACCAATTCGCCCGTACGGATTCCACAAAATGCTATGTCGATTCATAGCTGCCGTAACCGGGAAGTCCTGACGCCGGAAGGCCGACCGCTGTCATCTGCAT